CTGGCAAGCTAATATAAGAGGTATAAGGCGTAGAGGACAAGATGTATTTTTTTTTTTTAACCAATCCAAATCATGGCAGTGGGTTTAATTCTGCCTTCTTTGTGGATCTGTATGGGGAACCCTATAGGTTCAGGTGGTAAGAGCTGGTTTTGTTTGGCAAACAAACAATGAATGGATTGTGGTGTGGTCGCTGGATGAAGCAAGCCATAACTGAAGTTCTTTCATATGCTGTGCTGTCCATGCTGAGTGCCTTCCGAAGGGTCTACAAACTGTGGGTCTTCCCAGCTCTCTCCCAGATGGGTTGATTTATTCATCCCCCTCCATTAATTCATTTCCATGGAAAATGGGCCCTCCACCTCAACTTTCCATGACTGCTACTACACCATAGATGGCAGCTGGAGTAAGGGAGATAGAAGGCCTCTCATTTCCTGGCACAGGCCAAAGAATAACAGTGATATCCCAGCCTTTAATCCTGTTGCTGTGGCAACCTAGATCTCAGCAAGGAGAGGGGTGTGGGCCAGCCAGGATCAGATGGCACTGACGCTGGGGATGTGCCTCAGCAGAGCCTGGCATAGTGCCACCAGCTTTACTCGGGCTGGACATTCTTGACATAGCTCTGACTCAACTAGGAACCACTGATTCCTGGCAGGGCTGGGACAATAGGCCAGAGGGCCGGGCAGGGGCATGGCCAGGAGCCTGTACAGTCCTCCTTATCTTTCCATTTATTCTGCTGATGGAAGATGCAAGTTTAGAATTATCACAGTCCTTCTACAAATGCAGAGAAGAAGGTCTGGATTAGCCCCAGGCTCACTTGCAACTGAGCCTTGTTTTGCTAGAGGAGGGCCTATGCTTCCCTTGGGACAGTCTCCCACTTTTCTCCTACAGCTTCTGTATATTTTTAACCGCTACATATCAAGCAAAAATTCCATGGGTGCAATTATCTCTGGCACAGAGAGGCAGTGTGAGGATAGCACATATCAGGTGACTTTCTAACTCTCATTCACTATTTAAAGGCAAAAGAACCTTGCCTGAAATAGAGGTGACAAATTTATGGCCTTTGCCAAAGGCAAAGCAAAACACGATGCACTTTGAGCTGACTTATTTTTTTATTTGTGTTAGGTTTATGGGATGCATTCCCTTTTCCCAGCCTGGTGCCCTCTACCAACCAGACTAGTGGAGGATTGGAATAGTCTGAACACTTCTGGGATCTTCTCTTTTCCTTCACCCCAAAAGAATGTATTCCATTCCATGCTATGGTTTATGGAGGAGCTGATTGATAACCCCTGAAGTGTGTTTCCAGATTTTTTTGCACCTAGCTTTCATTACTTGTGGGATATACACTTATCCATGTATTCATCCAAACTTCATCCACCTCTGTTTTCTCCTCCATTATTCTTGTTTACCAACAACCCCCTTTCCAAAACAAAAAACAAAAACCATTCAGCTAGAAAAAGATCCATTTTGCTTGCTCAGAGAATCCAGAAAAAGAAGTCTGCCAAATTGTATTATGTGGTAATCCATATGAGGTAATGTGACATCCTAACATTTAAGGACTTTATATCTCTGGCCTTTTCCTGGGATGAGCAGTCCTCATATATATATGCATGTGCAACGTGGTGGGACAGTATGTGGGAACAGTATGTGGGAATGACCTTGGGAGATTGGGTCCAGAAGTGCTGCCTAGGGAATGGTCAGTTAAGAGACAGCATAGTCCACAGCTGGATGGTGGGCAGGGAAGAGGCTCAGAAGAGACCCTCTCTAATTTCTCAGGAATAAAGGAGATGGTGGGAGAATTGTACTTTCAGACTTGCAAGATTCTGTTAATGTAGCCTTACAATAAAGTAGAATTAGCTCATCTGTTCATGTTTCCTGTCTGGTCTACCTGGTAAGGCTGATAGATGCTAAGAATGAGGATTTGGTCCATTATAACAGGAATGGAATGGAATGCTTTGGGCTGACCAAATGATTAAATGTCCTGTTGCTGTGCTGGGATATACAACAGACCATATTGAGTATCTGTGTACACCAGTAGCCATTTCATAAAATAAATGGAAAAGCTACATGCTTAAACATACAATTGTGTGTTACTTTTTTTAAAAAAAGAAAAAGCATGCTGATGGAAAAGACACGTACACGCTTGGGAAGTGGCACCAGTGAAGAAAAGAACATAGAGATAGAGACATACGCTGAAGAATACTGTAGAAAAGGAGAATATTGTTTAGGGGGAATAATTTGTGGGCAAAAATAAATAAATAAATAAAAAATTCACACTTGGTGAAACCAGGGTTGACTCAATTTTAGATAAAATAACTGTGAAAGCCTGATGATCCTCTATAGCAGTGTTTTGCAACTTTAGGATGAGTGGACTTCAACTCCCAGGATTCCCCAGCCAGCCATGCTGGCTGGGGAATTCTGGGAGATGAAGTCCACTCATCCTAAAGTTGCCAAGGTTGAGAAACACTGCTCTATAACATATGCCAGTGTTGTCCAAACTTGACCACTTTAAGATGAGTGGACTTCAACTCCCAGGATTCCCCAGCCAGCCATGCTGGCTGGGGAATTCTGGGAGATGAAGTCCACTCATCCTAAAGTTGCCAAGGTTGAGAAACACTGCTCTATAACATATGCCAGTGTTGTCCAAACTTGGCCACTTTAAGATGAGTGGACTTCAACTCCCAGGATTCCCCAGCCAGCCATGCTGGCTGGGGAATTCTGGGAGATGAAGTCCACTCATCCTAAAGTTGCCAAGGTTGAGAAACACTGCTCTATAACATATGCCAGTGTTGTCCAAACTTGGCCACTTTAAGATGAGTGGACTTCAACTCCCAGGATTCCCCAGCCAGCCATGGGGAATTCTTGGAGTTTAAAGTTACTCATTTTTAAATTGTTAAGGTTTTGTAAAAAATTCGCAATTTTTTTA